AAGGCTTTTTACCAAACATGCTAAGGAACTCTGTTTCTTTAATAGGTGAAGCAATCAAAGAGTATGCTAAAAGAGTTTCTTTTGTATGTCTTTTAATGAATTCATGTACTCAGAGAAGCATGTGCCTGCAAGCTAAAGAAAGGATTGCTTACAGAAAGCTAGTTGACTAGGTAAAAGATATTTGCATTGGATATGAAAAACACATTACATATTAAATTTATGGAATGTCAAAAACTATGCACAACACATTTCATGCCTGTACCACAAAAAATAGACATTATCCAACCAGGCAGAAAATACTAATTGGGGGAGAGCTAGGAAAGTAAAGAAACCTACAGCATATCCAGGGAGATCAGATTTCTTCGGATCCATGAAAGAGTTGTCACCCTACCAGACGCAAAGAACCAAAGTCAATATAAAGGATATAAAGTTAAGAAACAATAACATAGAAAGGAGGAAATGCCTTATCTTAGAAAGCACCATAAACAAGGGATACACATGCACACAAGAACAGTGAAAAGTTGCCTTAAAATGTTCTAAAAGGATGATACTAGGCACAGAATACACAGTTCTGTAGTTATCGACCAAATAAAGACTTAAAACAAATACAATACAATGAGGACAAGAAAGATATTATAAAATGAATAAATATGAATCTTTAAGGAGTGTAGCGTACCTCAAGAACTGATTGCTTATTCTCTATTTGGAATCTTGACCTAAAGACAAGAAAACTGGGTCAAATTCCACTGACTGGGAAATATTAACCATAATTTATTCTCCAAAAGCAGTTTCATTTCTAATATTATGTTCGGTAGGATGGAAAGAGGAAGGAAGTAAAGGGAGTGGAAGGAAAGTAGTGTTTCTTTCTTTCCTTTCCTTTTTTTTTCTGGGAGAAAGAAGAAAAAAAAAAATCAACTTTCCTTCCTCTCCTTTGTTTTTTCCCTTCCCTCTATTTTCTTTCCTTCCTACAAACAGTGTAATTGTCATGCTCTGAAATTAGTAAGTATGCAGCAAAATATATGAACAACATGCCAAGCAGATAATAAAGTATAGAAACCTCGCACCACTAAATTCTCAGTCCTCAAACTATTTTCCCGTATCTCTAATACGGCGAATACCCGAAATTCAAAAATTATATAAACTTCCCTTAACTGAATTACAACGAACCTTTGGGACCAGTGTCTGTATGTGGCATAGAGAAAAAACAGAGTCAAAACAACAATCAAGCTAGACATTATAATTGTCATAACACTTATTCGAGCCGGCCCCTTCTTCTTTTTGCTCTGTTGTAGCAGAGCTTGCGGTTTGATCCTCCCCATCAAGTCAAAACTTCAGTTCCCAAAGAAAAGCCTGAACTTTTTTTAGTAACAAAAACTCGCGTCAAAAACTAGAGCCAATAAATTAATAACTAGCTATAAAGCAGTTAATAAACCCTGAACACTTTTCTTATAATCTAAAAAAATGTACAGAAAGACTCTATAACTATATTTATCGCTATATTTGGTAGATTTGAAACAATAAATATTTAAGAAGCCCCAGTTGTTAAATTCAAATTCCAGATAACCAAATACGGACTGAAACTAGCGAGAATTTTCAAAGTTTACAGCATTTAGAACCAGGGCTGAACATCCTAAGATCTAAGAGTAATAGATGATTTGAGACTTGAATTTTTCACCAAGTTGATGAAAAAATAAAAAGAAAACCCTAGAAAAGAGAAATTTCTGGAGAAAACAACAGATATTGGAGGACAAATATTAAATTTTGACTCGGTTAATTTCAACTCAATAGAGAGAGAGAGAGTTGGAAAAGTACCTGTAATCTCCTTTTGCTGGTGTGAATCTCTTCGCAAAAGTAAAGAAAGGAAAGAAATGCGAAAGTTTTTCCTATTTTTCTAGTTCTTGGACTCGATCCTTTCCTGTAGGCACCGAGAAGGTCCAGCTATACGTTTTACGATCCTTCCATTTTGTATTCTAAAAATCTACGCTACCCAGTTTTCATTAGCGACAAAAAAAATGAAAATAAATTAATAACGGAGAAGTTTCCAACAGTTGGGCCGATAACAACTTGTGGGCCTCATAGGTCCCATTTTTTGGCGGCCCGAAACAGACCAACGTCGCAACGTGCACCATTTTGCTTTGAAATGGACCTCGTCGTATCTCGTTCGTCCTTCTTTTTTTTTTTTTTTGGTTATATTTGGCACTTGAGGGGAGGCGCGTCGAGCGATATTCTCCTGTGGCGCGGATGTGGACAAGACGTCCCGAAACGGTGCCCTCTGGCATTCTCTTTCCGGGCTTGTCCATATGGTAGTCAGAGCAGGAAAGTCAGCAACAATATTGAGGTCCTGCACGATTCTGAAGGCAATAGGTTTAAATCTCAAGATCAAATTTTTTAAGGAAATTATTGCATTTTATTCTCAATTGCTGGGAGAGCCTGATAAGGGTGTAATGGGCTGCACTGTGGAGGAGCTGAGGGAATTTATGCAGTCCACCTTTTCGGAAGATTCTCAAAGATTAATGGAAGCCCCTACTTCAGAAAAAGAAATCAAGACTACCCTTTTCTCTCTCAATGGTAGTCAAGCCCCAAGGCCAGATAGGCACACTGTCATCTCTTCAAGGCTGCTGGGTCAATTGTGGGATGATGTCTTTATAGCTATTCACTCCTATCTCGCTTCTAGTAAGATGTTTCAAGCTATAACTCTTTATCGTTATTTCCTAACAGTTTTAAACTTCAAGCCAGTGTCTTGTTGCGCTGCAATTTATCAGTGTAATACAAAGGTAATTGCCAATAGACTCAAAAAAAAGAAGAAGCTACTTTTAGCTAAGGAAACTTGCTATCGGTTTCATCCAAGATGTTGGTGATCAGGTCAGGTGGACAGCTTCCAAATCAGGGAAGTTCAATGCCACAGATACCTTTCATTCGATTCAACATAAACTACCAAAGGTGCAGTTGGACAGGCTCCTTTGGTTAAATAATATTTCAACATGCTCTGATTGCTTGGATGGCCATCTTGGATAAGCTTCTAACACAGCAGAGAATTTCAAGTTGGCTGCCAGTACTCGTTTATTTGTGTAATCAGGCTGTGGAAAATAGGAACCGCCTATTCTTCGGTTGTTCCTTTTCTAAGCAAGATTGTCGCAGAGTTCTGCAGTATTCTGGCATTACTAGGCCAGTTGGCGACTGCAATGAAGAATTTGCTATGATCAATCTCCTCAAAAGGGGAGTTCTCTGAAAAGTTATATCCTTAAAATTGCTTGGAGTGCTCACATTAACTTTATTTGGCCTGAGAGGAATAGCAGGAAACATGGGAGATGAGGAATGTCAATGAAGATGTTTTTCACTGTATTCTTGATTCTGTCAGGTTTAGGTTAAGTGGATGTGCAAGTGTCGGTCATGTATCTGATTCTGTCAGTTTAGGTTAGTGGATGCTGCGGAAATCTTCTCATGTTCATAATTGGAATATCTGAATTCTAGACTGTAAATATAGCTTAGAGCTCTATTTTTTTTTTTTGTTTTGATGTATAGTTGCAGATATAGCTTCTGCAGTTCCATTGGTAGCAGTTTCTTATTCCCTACTTCTTGGATAAGGAAAATTGCCATTTATCCTCAAAAAGAAATGTTGAAAAACAAAGATGAGGGCCAACATTGTATGGGAAACGGGAATCAACTAATCAGGACATGATTGAAAAGTGTTCTAGAAAAAAGGGTTGACGTTCCCATATGCTATCCAGAGCCTTTCATGCAGTTCAAAAAAAAAAAAAAAAGGGAAAAACAAAGAAAACCGTTACATGATAAATATTTTTTTTCTCCCGTAGTGTACTGGTTAACCAGAGGTTGGCAGAATTTTACAAGAATCCCACATCTTCTTCCCGTTGTTCCAGGACAATGGTAGCAAGAGCAAGTCTATATGCCGAAGATCTAAGGTTCCTAACAAGGACGTATATCTCCTTCCTCCTACGATTCACTGGGATCTGATTCCACTGCTCCTTCCTCAGACAAGCAAGCAAGACAGCCTCACAAAAAGCTTCTGCTATTGGCTTTTTGCTGCATATATAAAAAGAAAATCATCGTAACCAAAACTGAAGAGAATCTAAGAAAATAGCTATATGCAATACTGAAGAGAATATAGTTTTGCGGTAGCAATATAGAAAAAGCAGGTAAACTAACCTCCCTCGTACAAATCCAGTAGTGACAAAACCAACTGGCCACCGATGATACTCTCTAGAAGCAGGATCCTCTGGTACTTGGAGTTCCCACTTACCAGAAGATTGTTCTTTAAAGTACGACCTCACGGCAGAATCAGGCAATTCAAGTCCACATTCAATGCTACCGGAGCTGCAATGTATCCAATTTTAACTAGTTAATCTCACGAATGAAAGAAACAGTAAATTCTATACAAAGATGTGTCATGGACAAATCAAAATTCAGTCCTGTTAAATTAAATAGGGGTGATATTTGCACCCTGAAAAAGGGATCAGAGAATGTGACCCAGATAATCCTTGTCCAACCTCTTGTTTGTTGCATAACTATAGTCATGCATTTTAAACGTTCAGAGCATGCTGGAATGAACAAATTATAGGCAGCTATTCCAGCCATTTGAAGACCTACACGCATGTTGCACTCACGATCTTGCAAGGGTTTCAGATTAAGAATTACTTGTATACAAGGAACTTTATTTAAATGACTACCTGGAAGTCCATACTGATATATCAGTGAGACAGGGTGCACATACAACAGCTCCCTCTTCAAAAACACCCTCCTTGTATGCACGGAGATGAACCCTGACGTAACATAACTTGTGGCTGTAGCTAATTTGGGTAATCCCATTTTCTCCTCTTCCCATCATGCTTTTATCCTTCATAAACTTAATAAGTCCTGACTTTCTATTTTGAAATTGAGGAAATAAAAGCAAATGTTCACCATGGATGCCATTCAAGAAGTCAGTCAGCATACTTGATGTCCTTGCTACAATGCCATCGAATGAATTACGACAACTTGTTACATCACTTGAATTTTTCAATGAGTTTTTTCCAACCATATTTTCTCCACTAGAATTTTGAGCTTCTTTCACCCTCATGGTTAGTTTGTCCAAAGCAACTTGGACAACATCCCACGGTGGTGGAATGGAAATTCTAAGAGGTCTCACAGCCAGAGGACGCTGCTCTGCATTTTGCCTAGAGGCAGTCTCTTCAATTTCCTTTAGGGCAAAGTATGCATTGCAGTCAGGGAAATCTGAAGGAAAAGAAGGCAGTCCAACCTGTAAAAGAAGGAAAATTAACATGCAATTTTGGATAATTTATTGCTCCGAGACAAATTTCTTAAATCCAAACACACTTACTTCACATGATATCCAGCGTTTCTCCCTCAGCCCAATAGCATGAGCCCCCTTGGAGACAAGAAAAAACCAGAAGACCCTAGTCCAACTTAAAGGTAGTATGACAGACCATCTGAAATGCAGAATGAAGGAAGAAAAATCATTAATGTTCTAAGACAGATTTCTGGATAAAGATTTTGCAAAGAAAACATTTTGCTCCCATGATGACAAATAAAAATGAGATCACAAGGCTAAAAAAATTAACAAAACCTCCCTGATCTATCAAGGTAAACCTAACACACCATAGAAAAGCCATCGTCAAATATAATTTTATCCAACCATTTGCAAGAATCAATAGGACATAATATAACACAAACCTCTGTGTTAAACGTCCAATTTGCAATTCTCATGCCTAAACTTAAAACATATATGGCACGAGTTTGTCACTGCAGCTCACAAACTAGAAGCACTTGCCTCCATCAAGCTGCTCTCAGCTTAAGGTGAAGGCCTCCTCTCTTTGGGGGTGCAGCTGTTTGATCTCAGGATGATTTGTCATGAAATGCAATACATATGTAAAAATAAACAATTCTCCACCAAAAGGAGTTGGTATGCAATGTTAGAACAAAATCACAGCAGGTGAAACCACATGTCACTCTTCTCCTTTATTGGATAGGATGGTTCTTAAATGCATCGATAGTGCACAAAAAAAATTCTCATACACTAAAATTTGAAGCAGTAAACTTCTTTCTAGAAATAGTTAATGTGTGGGGAAAAAGGGAACAAAGTAGTTACCCCAAAGAAGAGCCCTTTTCATTATTATTTTTTAGAAGCAAAATAGGGCAAGAACGCTTGCGCTGCACCTTGTTTGAAGTCTTTGGGGGCCCTGTTTTTGGATCATCAAGGCGAAAGAAATCCATACGCTGCTGATGCTTTTCCATGCAAAGTATGTTATCTTCCTCTGGGGGGTCAATTCTACTGCTAGCATCCCACAAATTCTTGTTGTTAGATAAAATTTCATTTCCTTCAGGTTTTAAACATGAGGGTGACGCTACCTCTTCATTCTCATATACAGTTCTAGTTAAGTTAACATGTCCATTAGCTTCAACTTCTTGCATATCAAGGATAGAATCTGGCTCAAGAAAATCTGTGGTCCTTTCAGCAGGCAATATGCGAGGATCCTTGATTGTAAAAGATAAAATTGCACAAGAAGAAACATGTTCCTCATTTTCAAGTGTAAAAGAGTTCTTTTCCTGAAAGTCATCACCGTCCTTTGCATTTGAACACTTTTGCTGTTGCCAACAAGTTTCTAGAATGCTGCATCGGCAATCAACTTGTTTAGCGTATTTTAAATTCTTATCTTGGTTCAAAATGATCAGATATTACCTCTAAATAACTAACCAAGGGACAGGATGAACAATCTTCTGAAGAAGCTGAAATGCCTTAGACCCAATTAACTCCAATTCTGCAAGCTGACCCTCACGTGAAAAACAATTAATGGTGATACCTCTCTCAATCATCTGAAAAATGATTAAACACAAAACTTAGCATCTAAGATAATAACAGCATGTGATATTTATACTAAGAATCTTTCTGAGACCAAATGAAATAACTTGCTCACACTCACGAGCTTCATTAAAGTGTAAAATAATTAAAAACATTATTATTAAGTCCAATG